AGAAGATTTATTTCAAACCAGGGACTTTGATCCTAACTGTCTGCCAATGGCTTATTTGATCACAATTCAAAGGATGTAGAAACATCCCTGATCAATTAGGAATAGACAGTAGTTTCCTAAGCATTATTGATGATCTACTTGTTCCTTTTGAGTTATGTCTGCAAACCCTTGAAGTTAAATATAAGGCCATTCTCTCTCAGATACACTGAGACTTTCAAACTTCTAACCAGTCTAGCTTTTTAAAAAAATTAGGCTAAGGGACCCACATACTTGTAGTCCTTATGACTTTTATGATTTCAGCATATTAATTAAGTTAGTTTTTAAAAAAGTATTATTTAGTGGTCATCTCTTACACCAAGAACATTGTTCTAGGCTTTTGTGGATGGGTATTGAAATATAGTAGGTGGCACAGATAAGTGGGAAGACACCAGATATAGAGATTATATGATAGTCAAATTTTCTTTTAACTACATGCTCACATGAATGGTGTGGTACAGAATTTAGGTCCTCTTTCTTTCTGACTTTCAGTAATACTGGCAGAAATACAATTTAATAATAATCTAATTTTTAAAATAAGCTCATCCTTGCCTGATGCTTTTGAACTATATTTAATACTCCAATTTTTACCTTTTTTTGTTGAGTCACCATTATCTTCTTTCAGCCCCTTGATTTGTAATTTCAGGGATAAAATAAATACCATGCTTTTATTTTTCTCCCAACAAAAATAATCTAACAAGCTTCTTCTGGTGGAAGCCAAGTAACTTGAACTCCATATTACTATGAGTACTTTTAACCTCTTTTATTTTTTTTTAGAGGAGTTATCTAGATTTGTAATTTTATTTGGGTTGGGAGTGGAAATGTCCCCTATTGATAAAGATTAGCAACTCCTCTGGAATCTTAAAGTCTGGGAGTTGCCTGACAGTTAAATGAATCAACTGTGGTCCTTTCTGAACATACTAAAAATAAAATGAAATAGAAATATCATGTCTTATTTTTTCAGTTAGAAAACTGAAGGGCAAAAAGGTAAAACAAATTTAAAAATCATGATGGCTACAATGATACAAGGGAAAAGATCCCTAAAGGGAGGCTGGATATCAGTGAAAGTCCCGGAGAAGAAAGAATGAAGCATATCTCTTTGCACATGTCAGAGAGATGGGGAACTGTTGGGGGAGAATGCTAGATGCATCATCAGATGGTTTTGCTTAATTGTTTTTCTTTCCATTAATTTGTTTTGTTTCTATCAAATGGGATAATATTTGTAAAATGCTTAGCACAGTACCTGCCTGGCATATAATCAATGCTTGTTCTCTCCCTTTCCCCCTCTGTCACAAAAAGTTTTCAATTTGGAAGAGGCAGGAAATAGCTCTGTTGTAAAGCTAAAAGATTACCATAGAGGTTGAAAATTCAGTACAGATTCTTTAATTCTTCTACTTGATGATTTAACAAACTTTGTAATACAACAGATTTTCATTAAGCACCTACTAAAGACAAGGGTACCACCTTAGGATAAAAGATTATTTAACATAAATCTTGTACATTTAATACTTTCTACTAAAGAGAAGGGAAACTTTGATTTAAAAAAAAGTCATTGCTTCCCTTCTTCATTAAGCGGTATTGCCGATGAGGATCAAGGTGAGAACACAATTCTGAAACTGTTGCTTTCTTAATAACATAGCCATAACAAAACCCAGGAGGAAATATTAGGAAAGAAAGTCCCATTCAACATAACTACTTTCTCAATACACCTTTTATCTCATAAACAGATTAGCAACTCCTCAAGGACAGGGAAGCTATCTTATATTTCCTTAATATCCCCTATTCCTGCAGTACAGTGTGCTCTGCTCACAATGAATAGTTGTTAACAGGTTAACTGACTCACTCCCAAAGTCACTCATTCTTACTGGCAGGCAGAAAAGTTCTGAATTGTTATAGGGATCTGGAATCAGTTACAGATTTTTGCAATAGAAAAGAGCAGCTTCTATTTTTTAAAACCTGGTAGTGTTCAGAAAGGCTTTGCTTTGTGTTGAATGGTGAGGTTATAAGCTCATCCTATAACAAAGAAGCTTTTGATAAGCCTAAATTAAATATAGGGGCAGACTGAACTTAAACCTGAATAATTTACATATGCTGTTCCTTTGTAGGATTCCAAGACATTTCATCCCTTTACCTACCTAACTTATCATCAGCAGAATTCAGATTTAACCCTTAGCCTTTCCTTGCCCCTATACTGCCTTTTATACGAGCCAGGAAGCATAAACCACGCCTGCCACTCATTCTCAAGGAAAGGACAAATGACAATATTAGTCTGGCTCTCCTTTAGCAATATGTTGTCCAGAGCTAGGTTCTCAAAACCACTTCCTTTCTTTATTTCTTATTCATGTAAAGGAAACTTTTACCCGCTTCCAGCAAATTGCCTTAAAAAAAAACCTGCAAGTTAAAAAAAAAAAGACTTCAACTTTATTTGTCGAAGACTGCAGGAAAGTAAAATTCAGCTGTGGATGACAAGTTTGGGGCTTTCTTGGTACCATTATGTGGGCACATTATGTAGAACTGAAATTTTCAATTGGATAATGTAGTTATATAACCATTCCTTGATGGTTATATAACCAAAACTTAATTCTATAAAAATGACTTATGAATTATTTCAGTTTAATTTTTTCTTATAATTGCATACTCTTAATTACTGGCTATGTAAACTCTGAAAAGTCAATTATCATCCATCGTCTCTACTTAACTCATCTTCAATATGGGAGGTTTAGCTAGATGGTCTCTGAGATTCTTTACCAGGTCTGGATTGATCTCATCTTATGATCTATTACATAATCAATCAACTAGCACCTACAATGTGTCAGATACTGCATATCTAGAAACATAAGGAAAGGCAAAAAAATAGTCTGTGCTCTCAGGGAGCTTCAGATCTAACGTATTTAAGGAAGGGGTCTCTTTTTAAAGCTTCATATATGAATTTTGAATGAGATAACAATATGTAAAGTTACATGCACACATACACACACTTTATATGTATATATATTTTCTTATTTACAATTGATTTATATTATATATGTGCACATGTGTATAGATATTTTCCTTTTCTAATTTCAGACCATTAATTTACATTGTATGTGTACATATATTTATATATGTATGCATATATGTGTGTGTGTGTATATATATATATGTATATATATATATATATATAAATTACATATGTGTGTCTTTTGCTTTTGTTTTGTTTCCTTCTCTTTTCTTGTTTCAGATAATTGATTAGGACTGTATGGGGACCTTAAAAATCATCCAGTTAAATATTCTCATTTTGTAAATTGAGGCCTAGAGACTAAGTAACTTACCCAAGGTCACACTATCAGTAATTAGCAGAGCTAGGATTTGACCCCAAATCCAGTATTCTTCCCCTATACCAGGTCCCCTCTGGAAGAACCTTGAACATAAACCCTCTTTTGAAAAATGCCCTCCCAGAGCTCAATATTCTACTAAGTACTGCTGACTGTCTGGAAAGCTCTGAATTCCTTCAATTATCTGAAGAAGTCATAATCGCCATTCAGGTATAGTTTATGTCCCATTCATTTGAAAAGCTAAGAATGAAAGGTTAGAGAGAGGTAAGAGGTTAGGAGCTGACCTACCAAATTTTGCTGCTAGTAGAGTAGATGAACTTCTTGTTTTCCAGCCAGATCTCTGCTCCTCCTTTCACATGATATGTTAACTTTTAAAAATGACCACAAATGTAAATAATACTTCTACACACATTTTTTTCCTCTCTCTCAAAAAAAAGGGTAAGGATGAGCATCACTTTCATTTTATTTTCTTTTTTCTGGCAGAGGTAGTAAGTTTCTGACAGTTTGCTAAGCAGTGGAAATCATGTTGTAAGCAGAAAGAGTGCAGGACACAGATTCCTGCAAAATAGGCTTTATTTTTCCAGTGGATACTGGCTACTCTCATAGAATCCAAATCCAAAAACAATTTTACTATGAAGCAAAGGTTCGCTGCAACTGAAATCACGAAGCAAACAGACACTCAAACCAAGGGAGGATTTTATTCTGTAATTCTGAAAATTGACTAGTTACTTAATTCTGTGCTTCATTCTAAATCTTCCAGTTCTGTTTCACTGTTCAAATTGTGGCATCCAAAACCTTGGCCACTAGTTGCATTTATACTGCAGCAATGGGGTAACAGAACTAGAAATGGGTCCTTTACAATGCAACATTTACATGGCTAAGTGAACACTGGTTTACAAAAGTGCTTGAAAAGCAGACTTTACTATTTAGAAGAATGACATCAACATTTATAAGGCTTAACTGTAGCACCAAACAAGCTAATGCCTAATGCTTTGGGGAAAGTCACACAAATGCCAGACAGTTGAGGAACAGCTGAAAACCTGAGAGCAAAGTTTGACTTTTCTGAAACGTGTACCACTTACTGCATCTAGAAGAGTTTTGACAGTCAGTCTTGCCAGTAAGACTTTACCACTAGGTAGCTTCTATTCTAACAGACACACACAGAGTTAATCACCTCTCTGTAACACTTTTCCTCTAGGACCTATCCCCTCTGAGCTAGGTTTCACTGGAGATAGAACTCATGCTCTTCAAACTACTTCTCCCTAACTCTAGGTGGGGAAATCCATCAATATTCAAAATGACAATAAAAGCAAAGCTTGGGCATGCTCAGTAGTTAAGGCAGAATTTTCAATGCTTCAGTTGTACCTAATTCTAGAGTTCTCTGGCTTGTGGCCAAGGGGTTAAATGATAACTTCATTCAATATTGTAAAGATCTTTATTTAGGACACAGGATAAAGGAAGAGAGGGGAATAAAGTGGGTAAACTTTCAAAGCAATCACGGGGCCCCTTTAATTACAGAAAATGACCTTGGCTCTTTACATATCATTGTTTCCATCATTGCCCTGTTTTCATTGCTCCTTTTGGAGGTCTGTACATCTCTTGTTTAAGCTGGCCTGAGTGTGAAAAATAAACAAAAACAGTATAACTTACTTTCCAGTGATAAATTGACTTCTGGACGGTGTGCAAATAGGCTGGACGTAGTAGTTTTCCAGTTTAACCCCTTGGGCAGCGAGCTTGTCTAAAGTGGGCGTCCTGATTTCTGATCCGTGGTATCCCACATCTCTGAATCCCTGGTCATCAGCTAGGATGAACACGATATGAGGCTGAGAGGTAGTGGATGAGCTGGGCTCTGGCCCCTCTCTAGCCTGGGGAGCTCTGGCTGCTGTCCCTTCCTCTTCCTCCTCCAGGCCGTGGCCCCAGGACAGGTAGCCATAGGTGAGGAGGCTGAGCACAGAGATGCCTGTCAGCGCCCCCATGGCTAACATCTTCCCCTGCCAGATCCCAGACGCTGGTGGAGGTGGTGGCTGTGGCTGCAGAGGCTGCGGCCCCGCGAAACCCCGGGGGGCCATGCACCCCACCCTGAGCCGAGGCTGCTGAGCGCACGTGGTGCCCTCCACGCCACCTTGGGCAAACACATGCAGACGGGAGATCACTCAGCCGGTCACAGGGTGGACCCCAAAGGAAAGCGGGGGCTCGTCCTGGCTGACACCAACTTGAACGACTTTGTCTTCCTCTTCCTGAAGTGATGCATGGGCAGATTGAAGGGGGGGGGAACGTAAGAAGAGGCTATTCTCTCTTCTATTTCCTATTTTCCTCCTAACATCCCCCCAAAGTGAAAACAACACCAACAACAAAAATCTCACACCCCTCTCTCAAAAAAAAAAATAGGTACAAGAAGAGGGTAGTGAAAGTCAGATCAAAGCTGAGACTTTTCTTTTTAGGTGCCGCGATCCCCAAATCCATCAGCTATAGGGCATAGCTGGGGCGGGGGGGGTGGCTTTGTCAGGCAGTAGCCCCCATACCCCGAAGCAGCCTAAGAGTACAGAGATAACAGGAGAGGTTGCCTTAGCTTCTGCCCCTCATCCCAAACTGCGAGAAGGATGTCGCTTTTGCAAGCGGCCCATAACTGACGCTCAGGGGTTCCAAGAGGACCGCGGACTGACTGATCACTTTCTCCACTGCTTTCTTGTTCTTCTCCCTCTTTCTGGCTTTTCCGAACTCCTTGACACTCACCGGAGGAACTAAACGGAAAGCCGGGTGGGTGTGTGTGGGGGAAATCCACTTCCCACTTATCTCTCTCCTTCCCTCTTCCCTCCACCCTAAGTCCCTAAAAGAAGGTTGGGAAGAGTCCTCTGGCTGACCTGGGTGGACCTATCCCGAGAGAAAGTGGCCCTGCCCCAGGGTGCCCTGGCTGGTGCGGTGCCCAGGGACCCTCCCCACCCTGGGTTGCAGCCACACAGAGCAGAGAGTCAGCCAAGCCAATTTTGCCCCCACCTGGCGACTCGTGCAGCCGCTGGCGCTGGCTGAGAGTTGCGTGCGTTGATCGGGAAGCCCTTTTTATTTGGCACTTTCGGGCCGTTTCCTCCGCCCCTTTCCCCCGCCCCCCACAACAGCTTTCCCTCTTCGGTGAATCACAGAGCCGTACGCTGTTCCCTCCTGCTCCCCCAGGAAGAAGGGGGAGAGGAGGAAGAGGCGAATTGAAGGGAGTGAGGTTGGGGAGTGGTGGGGGAGCATTCCCAGGACCTTGGTGCCTCCGCCAGGTCTGTGACTTGGTGGTGATCTCGGCTCTTCGCGATTATGCAGAGAGACGAGAAATAACTGGAGTTGAGGGTAGGGGTGGGGTTTGGGATAAAGAGCACGGCAAGAAGCTCCCCTATCTCTCTCTCTCTCTCTCTCTCTCTCTCTCTCTCTCTCTCTCTCTCTCTCTCTCTCTCTCTCTCTCTCTCTCTCTCTCTCCCGCGAGAGAGAGCTAGCGCCCCGTTGGCAAACTTTCTCCCCCCAAAGTCTTGCCCTGGAAGATGGGAGAGGAAGACTCAGAAGAACAACTATTTTAGCAAAACCAAGTCCTTTTCCATCTCCTAATCGGGTTCCCTCCGACCCTTTCTTCGCTCTCTGGGCCCTCTGCTCCTGGCTTCTCCATCTTTCCATTCTTTCTTCCTCTTTCCAATCAAAGTTTCAAATTGTAAAGTCTAGCTTCCCTCTCGCCGTAGTTGGTCTGCTTGTCGGAGGTCAGTTTCTTCTTCTGGAATGAAACTGCCCCAATCCCTCCATCCTGTTCCAACAAACTGGCCTGTGTGTCAGGAGGGATGGGACGGGCCAGGGGGGAACTAGACTCGCAACTTCACCCTCAGCCCATCGTTTGAGAGGCTACCCAAGAGAAGCCAATCTGTCTCTTCAGCTCTTCCTCCAGTATTTCTGTATTTCTGTGGACGCCTTTCTGTTCAGCGCCAGAAAACCCTTCTTAAACCTGCTTTTGCTTTCTTGGATTTTCCTCGCTTTTCACAGAATAGCCTGCTTTTGGTCTAGGGAAGGATCTCCCTCTCCCCACCATCTGGCTCGGCCCTTCACTGCCCTGGACACTCAGGTGACATCATGAGAAACACTTGAGGGAGGAGCTGAGAAATAGAAGGAGGGGGCACTCTGAGATCAAACTTTGGCTGCATTACAACTCTGGCTTTGAGTAGGCCCCTTTTTGCTGCCCAGCAGGAGTGAGCATCATTTCCGTAGTCACCACTGGGCATCCTCTACTTGAATAAACGGTTAGCTTCCTACTTTAACCACCTCATGGCAGCCGTCTCTTTTAAACGCAAATAGCTAATCCAGGGAATACCCTGGCAGGTTTGAGGAGCCACAAGACACCATTTCTTGCTTCTCTACTCTAGCATTTAAGATCTTTCTTTTTTCTTTTTTTTTTAAAATTAATTAATTACTTAATTTATTTTTCTTTTTCAACATTCATTTTCACAAGATTGTGAGTTCCAAATTTTCTCTCCATCTTGCCCCTCCCCCATCCCAAGACAGTGTGCATTCTGAATGCTCCTTCTCCTAATCTGCCCTCCCTTCTCTCACTCTTCCCTTTTCTCTTATCCCCTTCTCCTTCTATTTTCCTGTAGGGCAGGATAGATTTCTATACCCCATTGCCTGTATATCTTATTTTCCAGTTGCATGTAAAAACAATTTTTAACATTTGTTTTTGGGTTCCAAATTCTCTCCCTCCCTCCCCACTCACCCTCATAGAGATGGCAAGCTACTCAGTACAGGTCATACATGTGTAGTCATGTTGTGAAAAACTAACTGTATTTCCCTTCATCCTATCCCACCTCTCCATTTACTCTATTCTCTATTTGACCCTGTTTCTCCTCAGAAGTATTTGCTTCTGATTGCCCCCTCCCTCAGTCTGCCTTCTCTTCTATTGTCCCCCACCCTCTTAAACCCCTTCCCTTCTATTTTCCTGTAGGGTAAGACAGATTTCTATATCCAATTGATTGTGTGTTATTCCCTCCTTCAGCCAAATCTGATGAGAATAAGATTTATTCACTTCCTCTCACCTTCCCTCACTTCCCCTCCACTGCAAAGGTTTTTTCTTGTCTGTTTTTATATGAGATAATTTACCCTACTGTACCTCTGCCTTTCTCTTTCTTCCAGTATAATCCTCTCTCATCCCTTAATTTTATTCTCCAGGTATCATCCGTTCATCTTCAACTCACCCTGTGCCATCTATCTATCTATCTATCTATCTATCTATCTATCTATCTATCTATCTACACATACATATATATTTTTCCCCCTCCAACTACCCCAATACTGACAAAGGTCTCATGAGTTACAAATATCATCTTCCAAAGTAGGAATGTAAACAGTTCAACTTTAATAAGTTCCTTAAAGATTTCACTTTCCTGTTTATCTTTTCATGCTTCTCTTGAGTCTTGTATTTGAAAGTCAAATTTTCTATTCAGCTCTGATCTTTTCACCAAGAATGCTTGAAAGTCCTCTATTTCTGAATATCCATTTTTTCCCCTGAAGGATTATACTCAGTTTTGATGGGTAGGTGATTCTTGGTTGTAATCCTAGCTTCTTTGACCTCAGGAATACCATATTCAAAGCCCTCTGGTCCCTTAACGTAGAAGCTGCTAAATCTTGTGTTATCCTGATTGTGTTTACACAATATTTGAATTGTTTCTTTCTGGCTGCTTGCAATATTTTCTCCTTCACCTGGGAACTCTGGAATTTGGCTTTAATATTCCTAGTTTTATTTTGGGGATGTCTTTTGGAAAGTGATTGGTAAATTCTTTCCATTTCTATTTTACTCTCTGGTTGTAGAATGTCAGGGCAATTTTCCTTGTTAATTTCTTGCAAGATGATGTCCAGGCTCTTTTTTTGGATCATGGCTTTCAGATAGCCCAATAATTTAAAAATTATCTGTCCTGGATCTATGTTCCAGGTCAGTTGTTCTTCCAATGAGATATTTCACATTGTCTTTTGCTTTTTCATTCTTTTGGTTTTGTTTGACAATGTCTTGATTTCTCATAAAGTCATTAGCTTCCATTTGCTCCATTCTGATTTTTAAGGAAGCATTTTCTTCAGTGAGCTTTTGGACTTCCTTCTCTATTTGGCCAATTCTGCTTTTTAAGGCATTCTTCTCCTCATTGGCTTTTTGGACCTCTTTTGCCATTTGGGTTAGTCTATTTTTTAAGGTGTTATTTTCTTCAGTATTTTTTTGGGTCTCCTTTAGCAAGCTGTTGACTTGTTTTTCATGATTTTCTTGCATCACTCTTATTTCTCTTCCCAGTTTTTCCTCTGCTTCTCTTACTTGCTTCTCAAAATGCTTTATGAGCTTTCCCATGGCCTGGGACCAATTCACATTTTTCTTGGAGGCTTTGGATGTAGGAGCTTTGACTTTGTTGTCTTCTTCTGGTTGTATGTTTTGATCTTCTTTGTTACCAAAGTAAGATTCTATGGTCTGACTTTCTTTGTGCTGTTTGCTCATGATCCCAGCCTATTATTTGACTTTTAAACTCTTTGTTAAGGTAGGAGTCTGCTTCCAGTGTGCTGAATGTACTGTCCCAAGCTTCAGGGGTTTTGTGCAGCTGTTTTCAGAGATACTTCTAGGGACCTGTAAATTTTCAGTTCTTCCAAGGTGGCATGATTAAAGGTAAGGTGTTTAATCCTTTCCTGGCCTGTGTGCTGGTCTGTGAGTAATGACAAATACTCTTTTCTGCCTTGGAACTGTGAAGAGGATTCCCTATCCACTGCCACTAGAAGCTCCACCATACCAGCACTCCTCCTCACCCCAGGACTGCCACCTAGGACTGTGACCCAGATCCAAGCACAGACAAAGCAAGAGAATCCTGCCTCAGTGACAGCAAAGAGATCCCTGCAATCCTTCTCTGATCAGCCACTCAATCCCCCTCTGTCTGTGGGCTGAGAGTTCTGGAAGCAGCTGCTACCCCGGGGCTGTGGTGGGACTGAGGCCCAACCAGGCTCCTCTCTCTCCCGCTGACCTTTCAAGTTGTTTTTGTCCTTTGTGGGTTGAGAAGTCAGGAAACTGCCACAGCTGCCTTTGATTCAGTCCCCTGAAGCCTGCTTCTGGTTTGGTGAAGCCTGATCTTTGTGCAGCCCATGCTGAACTGCACTCCTCCACCAGCCTGGAGCAACAGAGCTTTCCAGTCAACCATCCAGGTTGTCTTGGGCCGGAAATTTGTTTCACTCTGTCTTTTGTGGGTTCTGCTGGTCTAGAATTTGTCTAGAGCCATTTTTTTAAGCAGGTATTTGGAGGGGTTTGGGGGAGGGCTCAAACAAGTCACGGCTTTTACTCTGCCATCTTGGCTCCGCCTCTAATTTCTGTCTTTATAACTCCAGCACATAGCATAGTGCTTGACACATCACAGGTCTTCAAAATGCTCAGTTGATTGGTTTATTGGTTTTCTTCTTCTCTCAGCATCTTGATCTCCCTGTACCCTTTCTCCCAAAGTTTCTGAACATGTCCTCACTTTCCCCTGGTATAGGTCAGAGGTGGCAATATTGGCAATGGTCAGAAGAGGAAGAGAATCTCTGGTACTCATGTGTCATTCTCCTCCCATGGCTAGGGGGATATCCTACCAGCATTTCTCCTGAGGCAGGATTCCATGGCCTGCCTCCATCCCTCATACTACCCCAGATCTCTTATCTCTTCCCCATTCTCTGTGTTGGAATGACAAGGGTTATTCTTCTTTCCCTCTGAATGTAGCTAAATCTTGCTTGAGTCCTCTGTGTGCCAAAGACCCCCTAGTTAAGATGTAATTAAGGACATCTTATCATATAGAGTGTGAGTAAAATTAGTGAAAGTATAGGGGCTAAGTCAGTTAGGTGGTACAGTGAATAGAGTAGTGGGCCTGGAGTCAGGCCTCAGACACTAGCTGCGTGACCCTACAGCAAGTCATTTAATTCCTATTTGCTTCAGTTCCTCATCTGTAAAATGGGGACACACTGAAAAAGGAAATGGCAAACCATTCCAGTATCTTTGGCAAGAAAAC